GAGGAGTCCCATATCATCTTCTCGAGCCTGTCTTAGAGAGGTGTACGCCTAGTCAGCTGTATCGCATTGAGGAGTGCAATCATGTATTAATTGAGGACACAGATCAGTTATGGAAAATTCACTGTCATCGAGACTTTAAGGAAGAAAGGCCAGAAGAGTATGAGTCATGGCGAGAGATGTACCTGAGGCTTCACGATGCCCGAGAGCAGCGGTTACGGTTGGTGACGCAGAAAATCCAGTCTGCACATGCCAACAAGCCCAAAGGTCGACAAGCAAAGATGGCCTTTGTCAACTCTGTGGCCAAGCCACCTCGTGATGTCCGAAGGAGGCAGGAGAAGTTTGGAACAGGAGGAGCAGCTGTCCCTGACAGAATCAAGATCAAGCCCGCCCTGGACCTCACAGGAAGCAGCCATACTTCCTTCAGCAGTGGCAGCAGCAACAGCTCTCATCCCTCCAACGGCCCAAGTACCAGCAGTGCCCACTTGGCACCTGTGGTCAGCAGCTCAGTTTCCTATGATGCAAAGAAACCGGCTGTAAAAAAAAATCGCTCCAATGATGGCCAAGACGATTAAAGCTTTCAAGAACAGATTCTCCCGAAGATAAATGAGGACTTGCCTGGGAGAGATGGAATTTAGGGTGGAAGGAGTGCAAGGGCAGTGGGGGCTGGGAAAGAGACTTTCCCAAGGACATCAGAATCTTCTGTTGGTGGAACATTTTGGTCTCAGGTTTTACAGTTTTCAGGTACTGAACCTGTGAACTTGTGTGCCAAACCCACTGCCTCCCTGCCTGGAAAACACTTCAGAATTCTGAAGAAGATGCGAAGCCTCAGCATTGCTGAGGATTTTAAGGTCAATTATACTTTTGTTGTTAACTAGCCTCTTTGTAAAGTATAAGACATAGTTTTAATTAATAAATATTGTCCCCAGATTGTAAAAAAAAAAAGAAAAAGAAAACAACCTTGCATAAAATAATTTTTAACATAGAAACTCCAGACAACCCAGCTATTCCACTGCTAGGAATATACCCCAGGGAAATCAGAACTGAGACACAGATATGAACACCTATGTTCATGGCACTGTTATTCACAATAGCAAAGAAGTGGAAATAGTCCAAAGACCCATCAGCAAACTGATGGACTGAGAAATGGTGGTACCTTCATGCAATGGAATACTATGCAGCACTAAGGAACAATAATTTCACAAAATACTAAACACTGAGATAGCAGAAGTTAGTGGGCAGATGTGAGGTGAAGAAATAGGGAAGATTCAATGGGGAATTGAAAAAATGGGGGATAGTAGGCATAGATCAACAATATTCATTATATAAAATAAAATGTCTATAAATGTATAAAACTCAGTGTAGATAAGCATACACAATATAAATGTAATAGTACATAAAACATAACGTACAGGCATTTAAAAAGTAGTGGATCAAGAGTAATTAATTATATAAACATAATGTATGGAAATGATCACATAAAACAAAATGTACATGAATAGGATACTGTATATAAATGATCATGCAAAAGTGGATAAAATAATAGCATTTAAATTAAAAATTACAAATACATTTTTATTGCAATATGTAAAGTTTTAAGGTACATCTATAAAGAGATTTTGTCTGTCAAATTACCCGGAGTAGAGAAGATGACTGTTCTATCCTTTGGTACTTATGTATCACTTTAGAATATGCAGCCAACAATAAAAACATTCCCACATGGTCTTTTCTTCTCCTAATACATTTCCAAAAACCCCTCAGGACCTAGCAGTTTCTCTGAAGCTTCACTGAAGTCTGAAACACGGATGGTCTTGAAACTTGAAACTTCTTTAGTTTATGAATAATAAGCTCAATGAAAATAAGCAGTTGGCTCTGTGCTCCAAAACAATGAGAAAAGAGCAGGAAGCCTGCTCTGGAGTCTTCCTCCAATGGCAAAGCCTCAGCTCATCCTATGTCCCCCCTTCTTTACAGCCTTGGCCAGTAATGACCTCACAGATTCAATTATCTGTGCCAAAAAAATTGTGGAAGAAACAGAAGGCATGGACTATTGGTAAGTGTTTTCTTGGGAAGCTTGGACCAACATGGCCAAAGGGCATGACGTAACTCTTCATCACTGTGATAAGGCATGCTAGTAAACTCACCTCTATAGAGGGTCTCAAGATTTTGTTTTTGAGTAATACCTTACTGTATTTTCAGCGATGGTTTAAAAAAAATGCAGGTTCTCTTTCAACTACTTCTACTCAAGCTATTTGATAATGTTGGTTGCATCTTCCACAAGACATGAATGTTCTCATTATTTCTAGTAGTTCCTTTAGAGGGCCTGAGGATTATGTGTCCCTTTCTTGTCTCTTCTCCATCAGTCTGTACATAAGCCACAAACGTAATAGGAGAAACTTCAACAGGGAGAAGAGATGCTATTAAATCATGATGATTTGAAATTGCTTTTCATGATAAGGTGGAGAAAGTGGTACTTAATCGATGTAAATTGGAAAGGGCCAATGAAGTCAATAGATGATAGAGACAAAGCTGCTGGAGTTTGCTGTAAATCTGAGGGGTGAGACTTTAGAGGACTTCAACAACATTTTCTAGGGAATGGGAGCAAATGTGAAATGGCCATGTCTGTTAAGGAGCTTAGCAGAGATTCTCACTCAGCTTGTGCAGGGACATTGTCTGAGGTACTCAGCTCATCTCAGTTGTGTTTCTAATGATGTTGCTCAGAAGTTTGTACAACCAAGGCTTTCGGAGACTAGGGCAGTTAACCAAATGGCCTCACCTTACAAGAGCTGCTTCCTCACTACCAAGCTAATTAGGATTAAGAGAAAATTGAGTAGGGACAATCTTCAAGCAAAAGGATATAGTCCTTGAGTTGCAAAAACAAATCCCAGGAAGCTCAGAGCACAGCAGGCTGTTTTTGGTGAATTATCTGGTTTTTGACCCTGTGCATATTCGGCTTGCCCTGACTGCTGCTTTCTGCTCTTCCTTCTCCCCTCTCTCCTCAGGCAAGGCTGGAAGAAAAACTGTGAGGGCCGAAGCTTGAAAGAGTGGAAAAAGGGATGTGAGGTCTCACGAGGTAGAACTGAAAGCGCCTTTGCAGCAGCTCCAAGGATTCCAAACAAATATCAAAATGCTCCTGTCATCTTGCCCTCACCTGCCCCCTCAAGTAATCCTTATCAAAGTTACAGAAGGGGGAAAAATAAGCTACATTTTTAAGGAAATAAATATTTCCAGTTCAATGTCTTCACCTCACCCTGACTCAGTTTTAGTGATGTCATCAGAGACTGAGATGTCACCTCCAGAGAGGTACCGCCCTGGAAGAAACAAACAAACAAACAAACAAACAAAAACCTGCCCCTCTTGACT